CATAAGTGTGTGTATGCGCTTGTCATGCGTCAGTAGATGCATCTCTCTTTAGAGACTGTAAGGTTGGATGGTCCTTGTGCAAATATGTTCAAGAGAAAGGCAGGAATATTTTGAAAGTCTGTTTCTTCAGCTTTGAATTTTGTATGTCGAGAAGCTTCTCTTTTGTACACTTGTGATCATAACTGCTTTTTCTCACAGTCCACTCCCAAGTCTGTTAAGGGCAGCACCAAGAAGGAGGGATCAAAAAGGAAGATCAACATGAGTGGGTACATCTTATTTAGCAGCGAGATGAGAGCTGTGATTAAAGCTCAGCACCCAGACTACTCCTTTGGAGAGCTCAGCAGGCTTGTAGGAACTGAATGGAGAAACTTGGAAGCAACAAAAAAAGCAGAATATGAAGGTAAATAAAAACTAAGATGCTAAACTCCTTTTTGCCTTTTTTCTTTCTCAACATGTTCATTACAGTTACTCAGATGACAGGTTTAATAAAAGAAGATATTTATGTTTGTGTTCTGGATGTACCTGAAAGAGAAGTTCATATTGAGAGGTGACTGAAGAGGAGCAAAGAGCATGTTTAAGTTATGTAGTGCACAACTGATAATTTAAATGTCTGTGCCACAAATAACCAAATGAACAAAGACCAAGAAAATGGGGACCAATTAGAAGTAAAGGGGTGTGAAGCCTCTGGGCTGGAGGTCAGTTGGAAGAATGGTTTGTGAAAGTTTCCTTAAAGGAGGACTGGGGGGGGGAATTTTGGACAAGAAGCTCTTCAGAGCTGTAGCAGCACATAAGAAAGCTTACAGTGGAGCAGGAAAAAGTTCTTTGATTGACAGTACTTAGAGTCATAAAAAGTTTTGGTAGAATAAAATCAAGGATACAGAATCTGTTATGATACTGTAAATATGACTTATTGTTCAGTCTCAGTATTAATCAACTGTGAAACTGATTTTGTTGAGAGATTTCATATCCTGAAGTAAGCCTAGGAGTGTTTCATAGGCATGAGATACTTTAGACCCCTTCCCTTCTCCTTCCCTTCTCCTTCCCTTCTCCTTCCCTTCTCCTTCCCTTCTCCTTCCCTTCTCCTTCCCTTCTCCTTCCCTTCTCCTTCCCTTCTCCTTCCCTTCTCCTTCCCTTCCCACCATTGTGTCAACTTTAATTAAAATAAAATTCAGTTGATCCTTAACAACAGGCCCTTAGCCAAGCCAAAAACATTGACTTAACATCCATAGTTATTACTCTAGTTAGTAATGTGTCAACACTTCCAATACAAAACTGTTTTTTTAAGCAACTGTTGCAAATCTATTGGAAGAAAATGCTACTTTGGGTAGGAAAGTTTCAACACCCTGGAAAACTATTGCCCAATTAAGTCATAACTTTGCTTTTTAAAAATGAGATTTGATAAGTTTTCTGCATACTCATAACTTAAAGGCAGCTTTGATCTTCAAAGTAGAAGTTTGCATGCTATCACTTTCCACTCTCAGCCGCCTGAGTCCTTTCTGAATTTTTTTTAGTACCTCTTTGCAATTCTGGAGAGTAATATAGCACCACTTGGCTATGTGCAAGTTTTCTTTGCAAATGCTGTGAAAGGAAATGGTAATGCTCTTCCTTTGTGAAAGTACTATGGCCTTACTTTTTTCCTGTTGTAGTTTACTTTTACACCCTTCAGGTGCACGTGGTATCATTTTATTGACAGATCCCTCCTTACAGCCTAATTCTTAAGCGGTAGGATGGCTACCATGCCATCACTTCCTAGCTTAGCGCAGCTTGACATCTTGCACTTCTGCAGGAAGACATAGCTGTAACGTAATGGTAGCAACAGTGTCTGTCCACTGTGTTAATGATTACCTATGTGCTTCCATTTTAATGCCCTTTCTCAATTAAAATTTTCCAAAGCTTTTGGGTTTTGGGCTGCAGTTTCTCTGGCTTGGTGTCTGCCCAGAACTAGACTTACTTTTATTTGGTTTTGAGGGGTTGGGATGGGCTTACAAAGTGTCCAAACTCTGTTTGCTTACCATGTGTGAAAGGAGAGAAACTCCTCTCCTTCCACTGTGACGAGTCAAAATTCACGTGCTCTCTAGTGTGGATGTGCACCAGGGAGCAGGCATGGTTTGACATTGCAGTGAAAAGTGCCTTTCCATATTCTGGTGAAAAGTAGTTTGCGTTTTAGATCCATTTTGACCCACTGAAAATTTCATTTGGTATATGTGCAGAGTAATAGTTGGTTTTTTGAGCAATAGTTCAGCAAAGAACAGGCTGCGTTGGAAATGCCTGCATGGCTAACTGCACTGTGAAAGCTCCTCAAAACAAAATAAAATAATGCACGGGATTGAGGTAAAGACCTGTTTTAAGCAAAAGCTCTGTTCAAAGCAGAAGGTCTCTTTCCTGTCTCTTGAGATGTGTTGGAAATGTTGTTTGAATGATATCAAGTCCTGGCCTAAACTATTTGGGATTAGTATTAAGGTGAATGCTCAAGGCTGAACTTTTAGACACCTGCTACAGTTCCCTTTGGCACTGTTTCATTCCTTAGTTCCGTGGCAGTCACGGCATGGATAGATGCTAGGTAAAACTCAAGTACTGTCCTACGTCAGGTCCTTCTTCAAAGCTCACCACTCTGAAGTCTGATAAAGCTGAATGCTTAACAGTAATTTCTCATTCATCAGAGTGTCTCCACAACTTTTGCTTTTGTCTGACCATTTTTTTTTGCTGGCCAAAAGTAGGTGAGAATCAGAACAGCTGCTTCATCTTTTCCCCACATGCTTGCTCTGCTCTGAAGAGGATTATGTCATTTTTCTACTTCAGGATCTACTTTTAAACATCTTGTGTATTTTGTGCTCAATCACATATAAATTGCCTGTAGTAAATTCAAGATTTTCTGTGCGTCGTCATCTCTTCCTGAAATGACAGAAGTCATTTCAGAAGAAAAGAAGGAAGGAAATGCCTTTGGAAATGAAACTGGTCTTTCAGCATATGGAAGTAGTGCTAGAAGCTGCACAAACAGGTTCTACAGGAGACAAACGCGTGATAGAAGTTTGAAGTCATATACTAGAGAAAACGAGTAACATTGGCAGAATGCGTAACTTAATCTCCTTGATGAACTTCTTCTTAGCCTTTGTTTGACAGAGGACTGTGATTGCTGTTTTAGTGGCAGTTTTCATCTTTCACCACCTGCAAGAGAACTTCTAGTTCTGCATTCACTGTTACTAAAATTTGCTGGAGATGTATGCTGCATTCATTTACTCTTTGTTGTTCCTCGTGGCGTCAAACAGATACAACCTTCAGAGTAAACAAATCAGCAACTTGCATGCCCCTAAAGCACCTCGAGTGGGCATTCAGTATATCTCCTTTTTTTGTTTACTTGAGTTTTGTTTTTTTCTTTCTTCTTCCCATGACCCTTTGCCCTCCCCTTAATATAAAATTGTCCTCTGGTCAGATTCTCCTGCAGTAGATCTTTTGTTCTTGCAGTCACAGTGAGAAACTTGATTGAGATAATGACCAGATTCATCGTACAAAGGACACACATGACCTCCAGTGAGCAGCACAATGTGAGTTAGACATCTTCAGAAAAAAACAAAAAAAAACCCCAGAAAAACCAAAACAAACCCACAAGCTCAAAGGGGACCAAATGGGGAAAATGAGAGAAAGAGGCAGAGAAAAATATTTTTGGTTCATCAAACTGCTGCTTGTTATGTTCCAAACACTAAGGACCTGTCTACATTAGGGAAACTTTGCAAATGCTTCCCGACTTTGCCACCACTTTTCAGCTGCATCAGTAGTAATATGTATGCGGAGCCCAAGAATAAACGGGCCACCGGCTGGCACTGCTATCTGTTATTTGCATCTTACTTTAGGGCACATCTGGTAGACATGGTGCTTAAAATTCCCGCAGCAGCTGGTAGCGGATCCACGTGAGAGCTGCCGGCCTTGGCTGCAACTGGTTTAGCTGAGCCAGTGGTGTCAAAAGAGGGAACGTTTTGCCATGTTTTCCTAGTGCAGACTGAGCCTAGTGCTGGACTGCTGCTTCATGTTGGTAACACTGGTGTTATTATCCAATTTATTCTCTGACTTTTTAAATTTTTATGTTATTTTTTTTTTTTTTTTTAGAAAGAGATAAAACTTTGTGGAATATTTTTCATGAAAGGTTCTCTAAAAGTCTTAGCTGCAGCCACATGAAATCAAATCATATGCTGTATAAAAAGATTCATCTGTTCTACTTTATATTTGACTAAACTATGCCAGTGTTTGACTAGTCCTTTTTAATGAGCAGATAATATTTTGAAATTCTGGGTTACAAAACAGAACTGAAAATCTAAAATACTTTTACAGAGCGGGCAGCTAAAGTTGCTGAGCAGCAGGAGAGAGAGCGAGCAGCACAGCAGCAGAATTCCTCCCCCCGGGCAGGCACTCCTGTCGGGGCTCTTATGGGGGTGGTGCCGCCACCAACACCAATGGGAATGCTCAATCAGCAGTTGACACCCGTTGCAGGTAAAACGTAGGAGCTATGACCATTTTTTCCTCATCCACTATATCAACCCCCTTCATAACTCTGAACACTCTCTTGGGTCACTTTGTTCTTATGGAAGACAAAGCTCAACCTCTTCAGTCTTTCTTCATAATGAATATACATAACCACAGCAGTAGCCTGGTAGTCCCACATTACTTGCTTCAGTAGCGAGTAGCCTGTTGAAAATGCAGGGAAAAAGGGTCCTCCTTGTGCGGTAGTCCTGTTCTGTTTGTGTGCAATCGTGTTTATTCACTCTACTTTGCAGAGTTCGTGTTTAGCCCTGCTATGGCAGGAGAGGAGCGAGCTAAATACTCTTCCAGTGCATGCAGCATCAGTGAAAGTGGTAAAGTAGGAGGAAAATTATTTTTATTTTTTTTATTGTCAAGAAGGTGAGAGGCAAACAGAATCCAAACCAGATTTTAAATCCAAGCAAAAGCTTCACAGAATTGCCAATTAGACACTGGTAAGCAGAGCAGACTAGGTTCTAGAGCCATTGCAGAAACAAATATGAAATGCCAATATTGCCAGTTTTATCAGGTGATTTTTCAGAATAGAACTGAGCTTGGAAAACTCTTCCACAAGGTCCCTGTTGCTGGGTGTTGTGGTTGTTACCAGTGGTAATCCGACTTGAGTTTGTACGGAGTATGCTCAGAGTAAGTATTTTCAGGATCAGACCTGAAGACAACATAGTCCACTGGAGATTTTTGTATGAGAATCAGCCATACATCGGTGAGAGAATGAATTAGGTATGACCTAATAGGTTGTTTTCCTTCCCCAATTTCTAATTAAAATAATTAGATTACTTCAGTAAAGGTCAAAATAGTGCCGAGTAGGTAAAAATGAGTATTTGGAGGGTTTTTGTTTGAGTTTTGGGGTTTTTTTAACTTTCCCTTAAGGCATTCCAGTTATTCCATTTATTCTTTTGTCATTTTTCTTTTTCTTTCCCGTCTCACAGGCTGTGGCCATATTTAGAGCTGACAGCCTGAAGCGTTTTTCATCACGATCTCTAAATCTCTTTTCAGTAAATAGGCTGCATGGATGTTTAAACTGAAGGCACATTCCTTATTTGCTTTATGGTCTCCAGATTACAAAGCATTTGTTTACATGGAGTTGCATTTTTCTTTTGTTTTTTTTTCACTCTGTTGTTGATAATTTTCCTCTGAACTGTTTGCAGTTGGTCTATGTTTGTGTGTGTGTACACATATCTGTGCATATATTAAGAAAAAGAAAAAAACAAAACAAAAAGAGGTTCTCCAGTGCTGATCTCTTTTGTAAGTAACCTACTTCAATCTAGAATATGTAGAAATGTCATCCTCTTATGCCTGTGTTTTCTTGGTTTGATTCTTGGTTTTTTGGCATTGAGTCACTTGTCCAATTTTTTTGGAGGTAGGTGTTGATGGGCAGTAATAGTTACTATTAACACTTTCTTAAAACTTTTCCAAAAATGTGCATTCTGCAAACTACACATACTAATTTACTTCCTGCGGCAGCCTCCGCAAAAGCAAACCTGTATTTAAGACCATTGTCTTATTCAAGCAGTTAGACATTCAAGTCTCTTCATTTTGGCATTGTGAAATACTTCCTTAAAGTAGATGATCGAGTGGATCTTTTGAAACTCTTTCTATTTTTGTGGCCCATTTGAAAAACAGTCTTTTGTCTTTTGGTTTCCGCAAGTCTTACTTAGAAGTATCTTATTCTGTTGAGACCTTTCACATTCTCCTCCATCATTTGATTGCTTTTCTCTAATTCAGAGAACTTCTCCATCACAGAAGTTCATAAAACTTCTTTATGGCTTACAGGTCCAAAAAATCTGGATGCCTTCTGAGATGCATTTCTCTTAGCATGCAGTGCTTTAGTTTCTTGTAAATTTAGGCATTACAAAAGTTTATTTAATCTGATGTTGTTATAGTAAAAAAATGGGAGAAAAAGTAATTTGAAAGACATCTTAAATCACAGCTGTGGGAGCTGGAAGTAGTTTGCCCATGTTGACTAGTTTAAAATAAAAGTGGTAACTCATACATGGGGTATGAAAGTGGCTGCTCTTATAACCTTGTGATGAGCTACAAGAACTGATTTCTCATGGAGATTTGATGACAGCTTTATTAATGCAGCCAGTTGTTGAGTGAGTATTTTATTTGGAAATGTAGAAATGAGCTTTCGTGATTGATAAATATGGATTTGTTTCATCGGAGCTTTTTTGGTTTGTTTGTTTTAAAGCTTCAGAAGTGTATGTAAATGTGTTGAAGATGCGATTGCAGCTCAGGGTGCACTGGAAGTACCAGGCAGTAGCTACAGTGAAATACCTTTATGCTAGGGATGCTTTTGCTGTTTTTCTTCTTTTACTTTTTCCATTAGAAGTATGGATTTCACTATGTTAATAAAGAGGTACAGATGAGCTTCCAGATACTTGAAATAGGTACCTAAGACCTATTTAATAAGGGTCAGTCTAGGTGTCCTGTGGAAAATGGAGGTTTGAGGAAGATCAGTTCTTTATTTTCTTGTTGTTTGCTCCATGTAAAGCTTTTGGAATTTCAGGTTTCTCACCTTTGTAACTCTTCCTGGGGAAGTGACAAATTTAGCTTGTATTTTGGAGCTGCTCAACCTGTTTTAATCCTGAGCTCGTGACATCTTTTTTTTTTTTCAATCAGCTGGTTTGAGTTTTTGGCCAGTCTTATTCCAGAAATCCCTGTTCTGAAAGCTTCTTTTATGAGTTACTGGGAGTGTGGCAAAGACTCAGTAGGTGGTTTCTTGGAACAGATTATAGAAGCCCCAGCAATTTGCCATTTCTAAACTTACCTCATCTCTCTAGACTTGCTTCTGTCCTCTGCCATCTTTTCATTGTCTTTCCAACCCTTTTCCTTGGTTACCTGACAATGCATCCATTTAAATTAAAAAGCCTAGAAAGCAGGTGAGGGACAAGAAAGTTACTTTCCAGGACCTAATAAACATAGTGCAGTTATGTTGTGTAGGTTCACCTCATGGATAGCAGCAAACCTGAACCAAAACCAGAATAAGCTCTAAATTGTCTTCCTCACATGCAGAAAACTAAATTTATGAGCAGCAGCATAATACCATCTTCGTTGTATCATTGATTTTCCTATAAAGACACCTTGAAGACGCTGACAGTAAAATTCTGTGAGGGACTGCAGGTGCTCCTTGTAAGTCCTTTTACTTCCATCTAGTGCCATGAGTGCAAGTTACTGCAGCCCAGCACATCCAGTGCTATCAGGTTTAAAATTTGAGTTACTTCCTTAGTTCATACTACAGATGATCAAATAAAAATCACCCGTCACTGCCATTAGTTTTAAGTATGCGAATGTTGTAGGGCTTTTGTGTGTTAATTTTGCACATGCACTGCAGAAAAATGTATAGGTTTTTATTTTTGTTCCAGTTGGGTTTGGTGTCCGAGCTAGCCCACATAGCGGGGCAGTACATGAAGCTTGTGTAGTTAGTGTTGTGTTCATAATCTGTATGCAGATGGCAGAGCTTTAAGCTGTATTAAAATTGCTTGCGTTAGTAACATTTAATTGTGGCTGAATTTATTCCTTGTGTTAACATATCTGAATATTCAGCATTTATTGCCCCATGAGAAACATACAAATACACTAAATACTAATTCATCGAAAGTATAGTGTTCCATATTTATAACTTTTTTATTTTTAATTTTTGTTCATTTTTGCAAGATACTAATTGTAGTATCGTCTTGCTGTACTAAAGGTGCGCTTTTTTTTTTTGTGGATAGTGCATGTTTTACTGTGTAGATCATATTGCATGTTATTGATGCATGTTTGAAATTTGTTGTGTCCTTCAAGGCATGATAAGTGGCTATCCACCGGTGCTGCCACCTTTGCAGGGCCCAGTTGATGGCATTGTTAGCATGGGCAGCATGCAGCCACTTCACCCAGGGGTGCCCCCACCCCACCAACTTCCGCCAGGTATGCCAGGCATCCCAGGCATCCCACCACCCGGTAAGAATGTCATCCTCATTCGCTCCTTATTTCATTTTCATATACTTGCCGTTTAACCAGTTGTTACAGAAATTATCTTCAGCTTGTTTTGGTCATAGTGTTTGTTTCTGAACATTGCAGGTTTGTTTAGCTGCAGCGCACACAATGTACTGCTGAATATGAGGTATATGCAAAATGTTGGCAGAACAGCATGTCCAGTAAACTGGCAGGGAAAGGTTACTGGAGAAATGTGACACTGCTCCAGCAGTAGTTTTGCTCCAGCTAAAAATCTTGACAATTGTGCTTGAGGTTATCAGAGGTCTGAAAAGCTGAAATCATGAAATCAGCCTATTCATATCCTTATGTCATTTGAACAGCATCCCTCCACTCCTCCTTTTCGTGTTTAAAGTGGGCTTATAAATTAAATTTATTACTCTCATTCCTTACTGAACTCTTTTTCAGTATGGTGATGTTTATGAGTAGTCAGACTGCACTTAAGTGAACCTGGTCATGTAAGAGCCCTTGGCCATTGGTACACTGGCATGTATTATTATAAAACAGTGTTCAGATTAAACCTTGTTGATAGAACAGTAACTGGAAACAATTGGGGATAAGGTGAACTCAGTATACTATTGTGGCCAAATTTTGAATTGATTTTTGAGAACAGATCTGCTATATGTTTGCTGGCTTTGATGAAAAGTGAGGCTGAATGAAACATAAACATATTTCCAGTGTTGATACCATTAACATGTCCCCATTATGGGGAAAAATGTTCATCTGCCTCTGATCCTGTTTTCTACTGATTCTTTCAGTTTTTACCTCTGATAACTCATGTGCGTATTTAAAAGATGTGCATCCCATATGCCTAGCAGTTAAGCTGTGGACAAAAATGGTCTCGTTTGCCTCCCCTACTCCACTTGCAACTGTGTTTATCAGAAGCTCTGTTAAGGTTTTTATGTGTATGTAAATTGGTTTGGGTTGGGGTTGTTTTGGGGGGGGTTTTTTGCTTGGGTTTGTTTTTTTTTTTAAGAATCCATCAGTATTAGGTGTGCAGCTTGCAGCTTCACTGGTGTGTAAGATTCACCATAATGTCATGTAGAGGGAGTAGGAAAACAGCTGTGTGTTTGTGAGCCTGTCTCCAACTCACCAAGGCAGTGACATTTAGCACACATCAGCCAATAAGAATGTTTGGGAGGTAAACCCAGGACAATGCATTTCTCTGAAGAGTTTTTCCCACTGGAGAAGTGGGCTGTATGTATGGTGTTTAAAACTGAGAAGATATGGATTAGGGAAAAAATAATGCCTGGGAATGGAGGACTACATGTGAAGTGGTGCTAAATTGGGTGCGGTGGGCTAAGAGTGAAGCCATGCTCTGATGCTGGAAAGGTGAGCGTGCCCTCTTCCAGACCTCTTCGTTTTGTACCAAAAAAAAATCCGTGCCATATTCCACAACTTGTATTACCAACGTTTTTCCCAACTGCTCACTTGCTGTTGGTACAGATGCATTTAAAATGGGGGCTGTGATCAAATGGAAAATGCATTCAAAATATGCTTTAGTGTGCAAAATGCAGTGACACATCTCTTGATCACTGATACAGAAATTTGCATGCAAATTAAACCCTCGGGAAGAGCATAGTTAGTTTGCAGCTTTTCCAGTGAATGAATATGAGAAGTGGCATAAACAGAAAGAAAAGCAGCAGCACACATAACTTTCATTTTTTCAGACCAAAGCAACTGTATGTAAAATATCAGGAACTGCATGACATTCATTTAGATTTGTAAATTTTTGTATGTACGACTGACATGGGTGTTTTCTGCTGCACTCTGTGCAATAGGGAAAAACATGAATATGCTTGAAGAAAAACGTAACAGTTTTTATTTTTTTTTAAATTTATTTCAAGTGTTCATTGGTCTCATATACAAGACTATTTAAGCTTAACCTGCAAGTTGCATTTTATATTAGTAAGATCTAACAGAATTTGTGCAATGGCTTGGATTTCCTCCTGCTGTGAATGTATTTTATAAAACTGAACACAAGGAAATGTTAAATGTTGCTAAAGCAAATTAGCATTTCCTTTCTTAAAGGATTCCAGGAAGATCCTGTCAAGCCAAAGGTGTATATTATAAACAAAAAGATGTAGTCAGGCAATCACTATGTAACATGAAAAAAACCTGAAAACCAAAAATTATTCATTTTGCATTTCTTTAATTAAATTAATTCAACAGGCCACATATCAATGTTTGATAATTGTCATGCTAGCTTTTTTTTCCCCTTTCATTCAGAAACTTCTAAAGTGTTTTTTTTATTGGGGGATAGGGGGATATTTGAATGTCATACATCTGCTTAAACTAACTGTGAGCAATGATATCAAAGTATAAATTCTTACTATAGAAGACCAAAGAAGCATTTGTCACTGCTCTGAAATAAGACTAGTTATTTTATATTTTGGAATATAGGTGTTATAGGCCAAAATGTGTCCCCCATGGTAGGCACTCCAGCACCCGGAGCAAGTCCTTTTGGACAGCAGGTGAGTCATTTTTTTGCATTATTTATGAGGCTGTAAGGCTCTGAATTAGCATTTGAACAACATCTCAGTTAAGACATATAGGGATGCACATAGCCTTTCCCAGGGAGAACATAAACCAAATGTACACCGATGTATTTAGAACGAGTTAGTATCTTACACTCAGAGTGTATGTCTGTATTTGTTGATTGAATAGGTTCTGTCCAGTGGGATAACTTATACAGTATAAGCAAGACAGTGTTTTGTTTTGTTTTGTTTTCCTTCTACTAAACTAAGACAAGTCATTTCAACACACTGCTAAACTGCTGGTAATTTAGGTTTTGCGTGCTTTGGTGATGCAGAGACGGTGTTGTCCACTCTCTCAGCTGTTGATGAGTGGGCAAAAACTGTTTTGTTTGCTCCCATATTTCACAAACTGACGAAGCAGATGTTCATTGGCAGTTCAGAATTTGTGAGTTTGGGTAACAACGATGATCAGATGTTCCTTCTCAGTGATTAATACAGATGAAGCGTTCAGCACATTTCCAATTTTATTGACTAAATTTTTGCATCATAAAGAGAAATGTGATTTTGGCTAGAGGGTGTAAAGAAAACCACAAGTTGAGCAAGAAAATAGTAAATTGTGTATGTCATGCCACTGGGTTATTCCAGATCACAGGATATCTGTGCTAAGAGTTCTCAATACTGCTACTTAATCACAATGGTGAGAATTCTTCTGTGTGACTGTGATTTTTTTTTTTTTTTTTTTTTTTTGTCTGCCTGCAATTTTTGCCTGACAGCGATTAGAGTTTATTCTGTGGCAGTATCCCCATCGTCCAAAGATCAGGGTCAATTTGGATTAGATGTTTTAGAGATAAACTCTGCACTTCACAGACCACATGGTTTCTGATCAAATTAGAGAAAGCATGAAATAAAAAGGAGTCAAAAGGGGTAATTAATGTTAATAGGGGAGAGGAGAAATGGTGATAGTAATCAGAGTATGTTTACATAGATTAAAAATGCGAACGATGTTGTCTGCTAAATATGAACATGATTTGTTTGCACTTCCTCTCTCTGTGCGTCTTGGTGACCCCAGCAGATAGTGCTGGCTGAAGTGAGTGTCTTCCAGGGAGATTTTCTTACGCCTTTGCTCATAACCTGTTTTGAAACTCCATTGTATGAGGGTGGCCTGATGCACAGATGTAAAGTGGCTTCTTTGCAGTTCCCCCAAATGTGATCTCTCTGTTGCTTTGTCATTGCAGATAGGAATCCTTGGCCCGCCAGGACAGCAGGCACCCCCTCCGTATCCTGGCCAGAGCCCAGCAAGTCAGCCGGTTATGCAGCAGCCCACAACTCCCATGTTTGTCTCCCCTCCACCAAAGACACAGAGGCTTCTTCATTCTGAAGCCTATCTGAAGTATATTGAGGGGCTGAGTGCTGAATCAAATAGTATTAGCAAGTGGGACCAGACCCTTGCAGGTAAGGCTTTTGATACGGAGTGGGATGTTTCCAGACAGAACATACTTCTTCGTAACCATTAATATTTTTTGCTTTTATGGAAAATGCTACATAAATCTGCTGCTTACTTAATAAAATATACATGTGCAAGTAATTGTTAAAAACAAATCAACAGACTGGGTATATATATGTTATCAGCAGGCTAATTCCATTGATGTTGTATAAATCTAAGAATCAATTGTGTGGGCTTAAATACTAGGGGTGAAAGTTATACTGTAGAATTATATTAGCCTTTTTCTAGAAAAATCAAAGCCAGTAGATAATTGGACAATTTCTTGACCTTCCAGCACGAAGACGAGATGTCCACTTATCAAAAGAACAAGAGAGCCGACTCCCTTCACATTGGTTGAAAAGTAAAGGGGCTCATACCACAATGGCCGATGCATTGTGGCGTCTGCGAGACTTGATGCTACGAGACACCCTTAATATCCGTCAGGCATACAACATAGAAAATGTTTAGTCACATAATTGCTTCTTTCTTTGATACTGGCATATAAGGAGTTTTGTGGAACAATAGCTGTTTTAGTTACTGGGTGGGAAGAGATAACCAACAATAATTTGTATTGCATTTTACTGTACATTGCAAGACCATTTTTATATAAGGACACTTTTAATAAGCATATTTCACTTTTTGTTATATTAAGTTGACTTTATCAAATACACAGATTTTTGCATATGTTTCCTTTGTTTGAAAGGCGATTTCATAATTGGTTAAGTGTAGTCAAGGATTCATCTTTCTTATACTTTATTGCTGAGAATCTGATGCCATTGTTTTTATATAAAAGAAGAAAAAAGAAAACAAAGTATTTACAGATTGATACAGTGGAATGTGAAATTAGTCATAGTTTACATCTTAGAAGAATGTGTGTACATGTGCTTGTGTGTGCTAGCCACTTCAGCAGAAATGTCGCTTGGATGAGAACAGGGAGGATCTCTTAAAAGAAGCTAAAGGTAAGATGTGCATTGATGCTAGGGAAAAATGGCGTTTCAAGTCAATACTGAGGCAGCTGAGTGGGCCACAGCAATCATGAAAGTGCTAGTGTCGACGGGACAAGGGTGTCTTGACTGGTGATGTTGTCCAATCCTGTCCAGTTATTTAATTGTGTAGCCAAGGCCATTGTGATCCTGAATCAGTAACAGAACACATGTGCTGGCATGCCCTTAGAACGTGAAATGTTTCATCTACCATGACCTGCTTTGGGGGTTCTGTGATGTCCCTAACACCTAGCGGTGGGAAGGGGAAGATTCCTCCCTAAGCAATTCTGTCTGCGTATAGGAGAGGCATGCAGAACTTTGAACCAGTTCAGGTCTTGGAAGGTAAGTTAGAGGAGAAGAAAAGTTGAGTTGTTTTGTTAGTGAAGTAATGTGATATTTTTAAATTCACACATATTCTGTTAATGATTGGGCATTGTAAGAGATTTTTGTATGCTTTCTTTAAGTGTATTGATTCATCTTAATGAAAGTTTTGCAATGCAAAATTTGAGAGAAATTTGACACTTAAATTAACTTTAAAGTAAATACTACTGTATGGTATGTGTAAGTTCAGCATACCAAGTACGCTGGAGAAGTAAGAGTACTTGCGTTGCAGCCTTCAGAGGGCTTGGGGTTTGTTTTCTTGTTTGTTTTTTTTTTCATTGTTTTTTTTTTTTCCTAGCTAAGTAAGGTAGGTGTAGACTCTTCTTGCCAAATTTCAAGGTTGTGGCTGCCTTCTGCTAAAGACTTACCTGTCCTCATAACTGACCAACCTTTTGGACTGCAAAGTTATTTGTTTACAGGTAAATCCTTTAATGTACTTAATTTTAGAAAAAGAAGTAATACTTTTGGATTGCATTAAGTAACTGAGAAAGCTATATTAATTTGAAAAAGTTGTTGGCAGAATGTGGTCACTGCAACTCAGTGCAAAAGAACTGATTTACTGATACACTTCATCTTACTGCTAAAGATGTCCATCACGTGGAATTGGTTTTTAAAGTCTAACAGTACAGAACATTTTCATTTCAGTATATTTGGCAGAAGGTTAAATATTTTTCTTCAGATACTGGATATGTTGGGTTTTGTTTTGCTGATATAATTCATACTGATGAGGGAAGTGACATGTGCAAGTATAAACCGTTATTTAATTTTACTGGCTAATTCCTCTCCCTCTCCTATTGCAATCCTCCGGTGATTGCATAGAAAACCATATAATTACAAATAGGCACTTAAGGACAGTGTAGGTCAGATGTGCAATGGATGTGAAGAAAATGGAGCTAAGCAACATATAGGAAAATTACAATTTTGACTCTACAAGTAGCACACCTGTGGTACGGGAATTTTTTTACTGGCCTTTGTAAATGACCAATTTTATTTAATAAAGTAGAAACTGAATAGTCTTAGACCATACCCATATACACCGTATCATCTTAAAATGTGTTTAAATTACCATAGGCTTTGCAGTTCTTAGCCACAAAGATGGGATGTTGAAGCGAATCAGGCAGCAAATCCTAGTTTTTGAGTATTTGAAACTATCATGGATTGTACTAATACACCACCAGATTCTCCTACTTCTCAGCATTAACAAAAATTACACCAAAGAACCTGGGATGAATTTTAGTTAAGTTATTGTTTTATTTATTTTCTTTTGAGGACTGGATAGGACTCCCTTTGGAGCCTGTATAACTCAGATGTTTAATTTAAGGTCAGTGATGAGCAGACTTGCAGCACTGGCTCTCTCCTGCCCAAGCAGCTGAAGCCCTACTTTCACTGCTTTTTCCGGTCCAGGAGCAAGAGATTGGAAGTGCAAATGAAACCTGGGTCCTTCTGCAAGGCAGTGCAGAGCACTACCACTAAAGCCACTGGGCTGGCCCTAATCAATTATTTTAAGCTTTGTTTATTTATTTCAAAATCATGTCTCTGTATATTGGAGGCATTTCAGTCGATGGCAGTAAAATTTAGGATATAATGGCTACAGTCTAGAATTCAAAACCAGCAAAAGAAACTGTTTTCTGACTGGTTTAAAAAAAAAAAAAAAAAAAGGAGAAATGTCTGTCTGTCTCTCTCTCTTTATGGGTGTTTGAACCACTCATTTATTTTCCACTGCCGTTCATTGTACTGGGGTAAACAAAACTTTCATATTAAAATAAAAGTATGTATGGGAAATGGTTGGCTTCTGTGAGAGTGGAAAATAGAATAATCTAGGACCCGTATTTTCATAAACCAGTTGGAGACGACTAATAGTTATTTGTTCTCTTCCTCAGTCCTTCCCTTTCATGAGAAAATTTACTGTTTGTGTAAAAACTCAAAATGTTGATGTTGGTGACTTTTTTTTTTTCCAGTGTATGTTTTCGGACCTGGTTAATCCATGCTTGGCTTTTCATTAGATCTTGTACTCCTGAAGGTTAAGCTGCTAACCAGGTTTATAACATGTATGTACCATCACTTTGTTTACTTGAGTCTTTTTAATTTGAATAAAAATAGTTTGGAAAGTGTTTTGGATTAACCAGGTTTGAGTGTCCCATCAAGACTCTTGTCAGGATTTTATTTCAGGTAATTCTGGCTGTTGCTGATCCAGATTTTATCAAGTCCTTGGAACGTGCGTGCTTGTGTGTGGTAAAGAATCCTTTTTATATTGTCCTGTATATTGCAAGACATGCCTGGTAGGTGATAAGAACAGTGATGCTGAAAAGTATGGTTGAAAATTGAGCCATAAGGAGCAAGAACAATAAACCTTGAAAAATATGTGATGCATTGGAAACAAGCTGAGTGGAGATAAGATTCAGTCAGTCCCAGATGCCCCCACATTAATTGCCTTGAAAATAAACAGCAAGGCTTAATTTCATACTGGAAGCTAACCTGGTTCAGGACTGTTTTATGTAGCTGTGTAATAAAGGAAATCAGAACAGCAATATGGAAAAAGCATCTTTTACACATTAAAATTTTAAACCAGGATAGAAATTTTTTTCAATACCACAAACTGCAAGAAAATTAAGCAATAGCAACCTCTCCAGTCTCAAGGTGCCTCTGACATAAAATTTACAAAGAGCTATTTAAACAACCAGAACAGATAGCATTATATTTAATTAACACACATTCATGTCTTCGACCTGGGGGATAAACGCTGCCTCTCATGCAGGCTGCCAGCTTTACAGAACTTCCACCATTCCAAAATTTAATGGTGAAGTTGCACAGAGGAGACTGATTCTAACCATCCTCTGCATCTTGTTTGCTCAGTCTGAGATACTGAGGATCATCCATAGATGTATGATGCCCCCTCTTGGCTGCAAATGCACTAAATTGGAGCAGTGTTTCAAAATGGCTGGGTACGCAGAACTTCCAGTAAGAAATGGGATCTGATTCATTGATATATGTGAAATTTTCTGATTAATAAAATAAACCTCATAGTCATTTTGCTTACTGCATTTTCCAGCAAGTTTAATTCGAATGTCATACAAAGAAGCAAAATGCCAGCTGCTGCAGTGCAGTAGGATCTGGTGATCCCAGATAAAGAGATTCCCAGTCTCTGTCATGCCTCAGATATGGTGTTCTCCTACGGTTGGTCCTTCCTGCACCAAGAGGGATCAGAAATCCAGTGCAGAAATCTGGCTGTGCAGATTATCATCTCTTAAAGGAGGCACTCGGAGAGACAGGAAAAGAAACAGAGGGGAACACACTGAATTACAGAGCAACACGAGTAACTGCTGTGGCTCAGCTCAGGTTAAGCTAAGCACAACGAAAGCCTTGGACAAAAATGGTGAAGGAGGGTCAGTCCGTGAAGTCTGTGCAACTGTCTCTACAGGAGTGTCCAAATTCAGTTTCCACTGGGTGATTTTTGGGAAGACTACAATTAATCCTCACGCTTTGTGCCAAGCACCAATGTCCAGTGACAATTTAAGGAAATTCCTTGGGACCGGTGGCTGTTGCAGGTTTTTGCACCTTTACCTGGGGCTGGCCATAACCAGAGCGCAGGTACAGTTCTGTGTATGAAGTCCGAAGTGAAAGCTCGCCTCCACTGAAGACAGTAAAAGTTTTACTGCAGGGAAGAATTCACCAATACATAACAGGTGACTATCTTTTCTTTTTTCTACTCTTGAAAAGCTGGGACAAAACTCTGCTGCCAAGGAGGAGTACAGGCTGGGCACATACATGCTTCCTTTAGCAGAACATCTTTTCAGTACTTTCCTGCCTCGCCACAGGTCTTTCCACAGGCAGCATCCTTGGGTGCACAACAGCAGGGAAACAATCAACGAACAGATCTGTTCTTTCTGCAAAATCATTCTGAATAGGTGGTGAAATTGTCCCCTCTCTAATGCTGGAGTGGTGAGCAGCATTGCTCACACGTTAAGTATCATTGTCCGTTCACAGGTGACCATTTACTGCTGCTGCTTTACTGAGTTGACGTTTTCCATGCTTGAGATCTATATTGGCCTCACTTCTGCAATTTGGGAGGTTTTCAGCAGAAATGCTTTGCTAATTCGCAGAATCTCCTGCTGCAGCCACTGCAAGGTGAACACATGAGACCACTGTTTGCAGATGCCGACCTGCACTCTGGGCTGACACCAGATGAACTCCCTGAAGAAGGAACGGACATGTTCAACCCCAGAACTGGCAGGGGCTCAGCAGTGCTTGAAATGAAAGCTGTGTTCCTGGCTTGCTCCTGCAGTGCCTAACAGCAGCAGCGGTGTGATCCCAGTGCCAGCCTGAGCTCCGAGCTGAAGGAGAGTTCTCGCTTCCCCCCCATTGCCCACCACCACAGTAGACAGATGGGAAAGCTGGAGGATGGCAAGGGAACGGGAAGATGAGAGCCAGAAAGAAGAT